CGTGCGTGCGCGCGTGCGTGCGCGCACAAGCGGACGAGCGAGGCGAGCGAAGCTTGACATTTTCGTGGGGGGGCGCGTACGCGGCCAGTCACAACTCATTCCACACAATGGGTGAGATTTCATTAACCTTTCCGGCTGCGAAATTGGTGGCGAGCTTCTCGGGGTAATGGCCGAGCTGAGCCGCGACCTCGACTGAGCGGCGTGTCGCGTTAACGCGAGCGCCGAGCGGCAGCCGGGCCCCCCTCGCGGGGGGGGGGGGGGGCGGGCTGGGGCCTTTGCTGGTCGACAGCAAGCGGGCCGTGCGAGGCCACGCGGCGCAGCGCGCAGCTTGAGACGTGCGAGATCTCCTACGTGATCTCTCGCGATTTCTCTCTCGTGCTCTCTCGCGCAATCTCTCACGCTCGCTCGTAATCTCGTACCCTGTCGAGGGTGCTTTGGCCTACTCCTCCATGCTGGTCGGAGGCCTTGAAATCGGTGCGAGTATCCACGCTTTACCCCTCCACACGTGACCTGCTGCCGATTGACTAACTTCGGTGCCGCTGGCTGGACGGACGGCGTGCGAAGGGCGGCGGGGAGGGGAGGATTTTAGAAACTCGCAACGTCGTTTCCAGTGCCGCGCCGGGAGATTGAATCGAATTGGCGACATCGCCGCCAAGAATCCCACTTGCAGCGGCAGCAGCAGCAGCAGCAGCGTCGCCCTTCATTGCCACGCTTTACCCCTCCACACGTGACCTGCTGCCGATTGACTAACTTCGGTGCCGCTGGCTGGACGGACGGCGTGCGAAGGGCGGCGGGGAGGGGAGGATTTTAGAAACTCGCAACGTCGTTTCCAGTGCCGCGCCGGGAGATTGAATCGAATTGGCGACATCGCCGCCAAGAATCCCACTTGCAGCGGCAGCAGCAGCAGCAGCAGCGTCGCCCTTCATTGCCGGAGTAACGATGTAAAATTACCTGTTACTTCGAGGCGTATCCTTTGTGTTGGGGTCGGATGTGATTGGTGTGAGCCTCCGTGCGCGCGTGTGTTCTGTACCGCGCCTTGTGACCTCCGGGTTGAAGGCGCTTCAGAAGTGTAAATGATTGCGCATTACAGATGCTATGGAAGCGCGCATTTCCATCGCCTGTAATTCAGATTCTCCCCATCTCTGAAAACGGGGGGGCAGTTACTTGCCCCCCCCCCCCATCCAAACCCTCCCACCAAAAAAAATATTGACATAAGCCGCCGTACGTCGTAGAGCCTTTTGTCAGATTTTTATTTTTTCACGAAACGTGAAATTAGAAATAACGCGAATAAGTGGCGATTTCAGATACATTTAACGTTTCGCACAATTAGCACCTAATTTTAAAGGCGATGAATGCTAAATGTCTGTGTCCCGTGAATGAAAATCGCGCGACACGATTGTGCCGGGAACCGAGCACGACGTTTGTGACGAGCTTCGAGGGTTTTGTCGAAACGCTTATTTATTTCAAACGTGTCGCCAGTAGCCTCGCGCGTGGCCTCGCGCTTGATTTCTTTTTTCCTCTTTGTTTCCCTTGCCCGTTGCTCGTTCCGTCGAGGAAAATAAGTTGCGTCGTCCTCCGATCCCCGACAAAAAGAAAAGAAAAATCTCCCGGCACGTGGACGCGGCGGAAATAGTTCCAAGGCAAAAGCAGCGATTGCGAGTTTTGTTTGGCAGCAGAGTTCGCCGGGTTTTTTTTTCATTTTGTTTCTTTTTATTTTCGTCGTGGTGCTTTCCGTCTCGCGTTAATTACCTCCCGCGCGTCGATACGCGTGGGCGCCGTGCGATGGGCGAGACATTTTTTTCTTATCGTAAATTCGAGGGGAGCGGTAATGGGATCGTTAAATTAAATGATGACGTTGACGTTCCAGCGGGAGGGGGAAAAAAAAGGCGTGATGAAACTTATTCATTAGTTTCAAACTTTTTTGGTTTTATATACACCGGGAAACTCGTGGATATACGCACGAGTAAGAAGGGAACTGAAAGCTAAAGTGGCGTCTACAATTCACCGTGATGGCACCGGTGATTTAATATTAAAATAGCGGCTGGAGCAACGGTGTTTTAAAGAGACAACCGTTTCGGTTAATTTGGGATTTTCGCCCCATCCCCCCCCCCCCCCCCCCGAACATTTTGAAGCGTATGCCGTTAAGCCCAAGGGTTATTTTCTTATAATAGGTTTTTCTCCGCGCGGATATTGCTTAAGTTATCTAAGATTGCCATCGCCGTGTCGGCGACGTGGGAATCAATGAGTGCGACAACAGGAGAGTTGCCGGCACGTGTGGCAAACCTCGAGGGAAATGAGCCAAGTTTTTTTTTCTTCTTCAATTCCTTTTTGCACATTTTTACTTTTAATACATATACGCGTTTTAATTATATTCCACTCATGCAATTTGCTGCCCCGTCCGTGCGGCACTGAAGTTTTCCATTCGAGCAGAGAGCAGTGCCACTACCCCCTGCGTCGGAGAACGGCAGCGAGGGAAGAGAACGTCGCGGAACACCTTCCGAGGTGGGCTCGCGACCATACTCGCGGCGCCTCTGTGCCCTGCCCCAGAGCGTTTGCCTCGCGTCAATAGAGACCACAATCTTTAGCTCTCGAATCTGCGACCTTGCTGAATTCAACGAAGAGACAAATGCATTTCTCACCGTGAACTCTGCTCCCAGTCGTGCTGTGAGCATCGCGGCATGAGGCTGGCCACCCACAGGAGCTGTAACATCAGAGAACGGCCCGTGGAAGCAGATAACACAGAACTACTTCTGAGTTCCCTTGATCAAGTGGCCTCTTGTACCCGTGGCTAGCACTGTCCGAGCCACGGAGGAACGAATGGGAGGAGACGTATCGTCCGCTTATCTATTCTTCTGCGGAAAAATGTTCATTGCGTGACAGTCAACCCGAACTGTTTAATTCTCAGAGCTCTTGCTCCTGCCGGCTATAGAGGCTACACATTAGGAGATCATTAGCTATACGAGTATGGTTTTATAAATAGGAACTCGCTGACCAGACTTTGTCCATCCATCTATTTGGATCGATGAAGGGTGTTTTTGTCCGTGTTCGCGTGTGCGTTTGTTGTCCGCGTAGCGCGCCGTGCTACGAACCTGACGACCCGAGTTCGATTCCCGCTCATGACCAACAACTAAGGGATATATGGACCGGTCCTGGGCCTCCGCAGGATCGACTCAGCCTCAAATGAGTGCCCGGTGTGGTGCGTAAGTAAACATCGCCACTGGGGAGACAAAGGCAGCCGGGCGTGGTGTTGGCCACCCACCCACCCCTTCGGCCTTTCATAGGTGCTCGCGAAAACCACTTGCCCCATCAATTTGGGCACGTAGTGCTGGCCAACTACGCCGGGCTTTCATAGGCGAACAGCACTTGCCTTCCCTCCCGCAGTCTGTAATCGGCTCTGTGGGGGAAAGTCGTTTTTTTTTATTGTACTTACAAAGGCCAACAATTTACTGACTGGCATATCCCCTTCACATTGCCATGCAAAATCGCCCATTATTCACATCTCTTAATGCGGCGGTGCCATTTGAATCGGGCGACGCGGGGGCGGAGAGGAACCCCCCCGTGCTCTCGTTCCGGCAATATTCTATTTAAAATCGCAGCCGCGAGAAAACTCGATTTCCCACGAGCGTTTCCCTCGCATTTGCATGAACGCGTACCAAAAAAATGAAATAATAATCGAGTGCCGCCAAAAGTCAGAAATATTTTCACCGCCTATCTCTTCCGTCTTGTCCCGGGGTCAAGCGTTTCTCGTCACTCACCCCAGCCGTGCCAGGGTTGCCACCTATCCCAAATTTTTTCCTCTTTATTTTTGAGGCAGCCATCCTGGTGAAACGGGTTAGGTTTTTTAAGTCCTCCGTAATCCACGCCTGGCGATATTTGCGCAGTATCTTTTATTTGCGTGCGGAATATATAAAAAAAAAATGTTAATTCGTATTTTACCACAGGATGCCAATCACATGATCAAAGATGGCATCACCCTTGCGTAGCTGTACATTAAAAGAGCAGTCAGCAGTTGTTTATCTATGCATCGTCTGTTGGTATAATGTACGGTTGCCACCGATTCTGGTTTTCCCAACATCGGCCGTTCTCTTTTTAAGGTGGCTGGTTGTCCTAGTGCAGGGGTCGGCAACCTACGGCTCCGGAGCCGCATGCGGCTCTTTACGGGCTGCTTCTTGACAATATGTACGTATGTACTCAGATGCATTGCGGCTCTTGAAATACTGAATTTTGTACCGAATTGGAAAGAAATGGCTCTTCTTGTTATTTTGGTTGCCGACCCCTGTCCTAGTGAGTTGAGTCGCAAGCCTTCCCAGGACACGAGTCCATGTCCATTGCGTAGTAGTAATAGTAAGACACCTCTCAAGACAAGGCGTTCTCACGGAGTGATCCCCTTCTCTGGTAACGTGACTCATTCTTTGTCTCACCCACGATGTGCCGGCTCGCGGCAGCTCGGCGCGCCGGTGCTGTTGTCGTAAAGCTGGGGTGGAGGTGGAGCCTTTTCCATACCGAGGGGGTGACTCAAGGACCAGGTCGAAAATACCCCCCCCCCCCCTCTCCCCCACCCCCCAGCAGTCTATTAGTGCGGCTAAAATGCTCGGCAGTTTTGGATAAAATGCGTTTGTTTCAAGCCGGTAGGCCTTGCGTGGCCATGGGCCATGTGCAACGGAGCAGCGGGCCACGTGCGGTCCACGAGCCGTAGGCCGCGTTCCGCTGCCGTGCGCGGAAGAGCTCGGGGTGGTGGTGGTTACCCCCTTCGCTGGTCCCGCGTTTCGGGTCGTCCGCTCCGCTCATCGCGCGCGAGCGAGCGGCCTCGCAGGGCTGGTCAATGCCGATCGATACGAGTTATAGAGATAGCCTTGCTACGTAATTATTCGGCGGATATATCGCGGCAAGACCTTCATTCAGCTGCTGGTTTATGCGCCGCTGGGTGGTTCAGTCGTGTGCAGCAGCTAACACCGCGTCAATCCTCACACCATCGCCTTTGTCGATTGTCTCTGCCACAGATTGCCGCCGTCGCAGAGTGCCGTGAGATGACGATGACGGCGACCGCGATAAAGAGGATGGCGATGATGATGGTGGCGGCGATGTCTCGCCCTCGCCGCCCGCTGCCGCCGACTGCGTCAATTATTCGTCGCTTGTCCACCACCACCTCCACGCGATCCGTCTCCTCTCCGGACGAGCCTACCACCAACACCACCACCAACACCACCAGCACCAACACCACCAGCACCACCAGCACCTCCACCATGCCAGACGTTCAAACCACCAACAGCACCGCCCCTTCTACCATCACGCCTTTGTCAGATGCCACTGCCACGAACACCACCACCCACGCATCCTCCATCTCCTTTCCGGACACTGCCACCGACAACAGCGCCACCTCCTCCATCCCTTCGCCCGATAATCCAACCACCGCCGCCGACACCACGGCGCCAGCGGCGGCAGCGGACGAGAACGCGGACACGGTGCGTGCTTTGCACGAGCTGGGCGTGCGCGTGACGCGCGTGCGCAAGCTACACGGCTGGGTCCTGCGGGAGCGGCGCGCGCACGTGCGGGACACGGCGGAGCTGCTCGTCTCCCTGGGCGTGGCTCCCGGCGGCGCCGTCGCCGCGCTGCTCGAGCGCTGCCCGGCCGCGGTGCTGTGCCCGCCCGCGGACGCCCAAGCCCAGCGCCGGCTGTGGCTCTCGCTGTGCGACCGCCGCGACGAGCCGGCCGCGGGCCCCGGCGTGGCCGACGGCGGCGGTGGCGGTGGCGGTCGCGGTGGCGCTGGTGGTGGTGTCGAGCTGGCAAATGTGGTGCAGCGCTTCCCCGAAACCTTTTTTCTCACCGCGTCGCCGGAGCAGCGGGCAAATCAGCAGGTACAGCGGCATGGCCAGCATGATCATCAGTGGCAACAACAGCAGCATATAATTTTCATCATCATCAGCAACATTGTCAATGTGGACATGGTAAACGTGAACACGGTGAACATGAATGGTTCACATGAACATGGTTCGCACAAAATTTATTCACGTGAACGCGGTAAACCTGAACACGGTCAGCAAGACCAAGATTCATGTGCACGGGGTCAGGTGCGTTGGAGGCGCTGTGTTCCTGACGCTGGACGCAACGAGCGGGCGACGATGCGTGTGCGCTAATTCCCCACGGCAATCAATTTGCTCCGTTTGACCAAAAACGCCAAACGCACGGTCACTGCGAGCTCCAGCCCAGGGCGGTGTTAACCCTTTTTCCAAATCGCTTTCTAAAACGGACCTCGACCGAAACATTTGGCCGTCGAGCTTAAGAAACCTTCGTGTCTGCGATTGTTCGCTGCTCTGTCATTGCTCGGGGTGGAGTGGCAGTGCAGCGGTTGGCACACTCCGCCCAAATGAAACTGGCACAGCACACGAGGGGGCTGATGGCCAGCAGCACGCCCGGGCCACCTTTGTCTCCCCAGTGGCGATGTTTACTATAAACCGCACCAGGTACTAATTTTAATCTGAGTCAACCTAGGGGAGGCCCAGGACTGGTTCACATAATCGTCACCGGTGTTGGCCGTGGCCGGGAATTGAACTCGGGTCGCCGGGTTCATAGCGCAGCGCGCTAACCGCTACACTACCCCACACACATTCACACACACACATGCACGCGCTCACACAAACGTACGCAGGACAACATCGCGCTGCTCCTCTCCGCCGGCCTCCACCGCCGCGTGCTCGCGCGGCTCCTCGCCGCGGCGCCGCAGCTCTTCTGCCGCCCCGCCGCCGACAACGGCGCCGCGGTGGCCGCCCTGCACCGCTTCCACCGCTCGCTCGGCGGCTCGGAGCGCGACGCACGCGCCTGGCTCGCCAAGCTGCTGAGCCAGGACGCCCACGCACTCGCGGGCGACTCGCCGGAGCGCCTGGCGGGCCTCGCGGCCCTCCTGCGCCGACGCCTCGCCCTCTCCGACCGGGAGCTGCTGCGCGTGGCGACGGGCGTGCGGGGCTCGCCGCCCGCGGGGCCGGCGATCGGCGCGGTACTGCGGTTCTGCCGGAGCGAGCTGGGGTGCGACGACGCGGACGAGGAGGAGGGCGACGATGGCGCCGGCGGTTCCGGCGGCGGCGGCGACGCCGCGGTCCGGAGGGTGCTGCTCGCCTGCCCGACGCTGCTCAGCTTCCCGGCAGAGATCCTCGCTGAGAACCTGAAGGTTCGGTTCCCCGACGCGAGGGCGGTCCGCCGCCGGGGGCGCGGGGTGACCTGGCGCATGCCGTGTCCGATGGTGCGGGAGATGGGGAGGCGTCGGTTTTTGCCTCTGGGCGGCCCTCGGCACGCGTTGCCACACCGGGGAGTGCTCATTCATTTCAGCGAAACACAAATAAGGGCGGTGGCGGCACTACTTTGACAGTAGGCACAAAGAAACACACGTTTTAACCCGCATTTCGACATTATTGACTTTAAGATTCTCCAACTCGTGCCTGTGTTCGAATGCTCATATCCAGGAGCTGATTCGGCCGCACACTCCACCATTCGGCCGCACGCTCCTCCCCCGAGGCCTCTGAGATCCACCGATGGTTGCCCCCCCCCCCCCTGCTTAGCGTGACCCCGCTCCAGGCTGCCACGCTGGGCTTGCCCACCGGGCTGCTGTCCGCACGGCGCCCGGGGGCCCTGGAGTCCCCTGCCCCTTGGAGGTCAGGAGGTCGCAGTCATTGGAGACTTCTAAGTCCCCGGGCTGAAGACCCCGCCACCAGCTGTTTAACACAGTCTCTCGCTAGTTCTCTATCTGGTCTCGTGAGTCTCTCTCTCTCTCTACCCTGGTTGCTTCTCACTTATTCTCCTCCTCTGCATGCATGGCGCTCTGAGATCCATCGTTTAAGAGCGCCATGTAAATCTGAATAATTATTATTAAGACTGCCTTAATCTCTTTCTATTAAAGGGAAATTTGTGAATGTGTGCAATAATGCATATATTTTGCACGGCAAGTGAGCTGTGACGTCACATCTGTCATGTGACCCGTATGCGGAAAGCGTCACGCAGTGTGCCTGCTGACGTCACGCATCCCCCCCCCCCGCCACCCTCCGTGTATTAATCCAAGACAAGAATCCAAGTCTCGGGCGAAGCCGGGTAGTAAAGCTAGTAAGAGGATAAATGAATTGGCTGACATTTAGGGCAACAGCCTTGCTTCCGACCAAAGACAGAACAGATGGAAATGTGTCCTTTACGTAAGGTCAGAGGTCGCTGCAGTTTAAAAGATGGGCAACTTTCTTGAATCTCCCCCCCCCCCCAGCCCTTCGCCCCTCCCCCCTCCCTCCCACCTCTGTCCACAACATCGGTACGACGGACGGTCGATCGGCAGGCCGCCCGTAGTCGGATGAAGTGTGGGTATTCCCTCCTCCACCACCAAACATGACGTGTGGCCGGCGTGGAAGAGTAGGCCCAATACCCTCGAGAGAGGCTTTCTGGAGCCTCTTCTGTGGTGACGGCCCTTCCGCCAGCAGTGTCGTGAGCAGGCAGTATGCAGGACTGCGCCTTTACCTATGCATAATGAAGTTGATGATGATGAAGATGTTACATTCATAGCCGGTGTAGATTATTATATGTAAACCACAACGACAACAAACACATTGAGTCGTGAATGTACAAAAATAATATTTTGCGTGAAGGTTATCATCGTTATCAGCTGCGGTCAGTAATAATGATGATGGCTTTTACAGTCCAGAAAATCCTTGCGGAGTCTCAACACTCTTTCTCAGGAGGGTCCTGCACTGGGATTCTTGGCCGATGATTCGATGGGGACGTTTTTTGTGCATCATCATTGTCTTCGTCATCGTCATCATCATCATCAGTTTACCCAACCGGTACATTTTCAGGGATGATAGCAGAGTCGCAGCCAAAGTGACAGACGCAGCCAAGTGGGGTGTCACGTCTGCCGAGATGGAGCGGAGAAATCATCTCGCGCACGGAATCTTGATGACCTTTCTCCACCGTGACACCACGAGCGATGGCGGCATCTGGGAGCAGGGGTCAGGGGTCAGGGGGCTTCATCCAGCAGTAGATAGAGCGACCGACTCCCATCACGAACTATAACGAACCGTCCTGCCCGGAGCGTAACGATCACCTTGCCCCGTGAGACTGTGTGCGGAGAGAGCGCGCGCCGGCGTTTAATCGCCGGACGGGATGCGCCCATCTGGTGTCCTTTCCGCAGATGTTTGCGACATTGCGCGGGGATTTGGGGGCCAGATTGCGCCTCGTTTGCGTTCCCAGAGAAAAAGCCTCCGTGTCCTCCCCCGCACCCCCACCCCTCCCGCAATGTTGTTTCAAATCCCTCTCTGCTCCCTAGACGCGAGAAGAGAGACGTCTTTCGGATTAATGTGTTGTGTTTGTGTGGGTTTTTTTTCGCTCGTCATTCTCCCTCCGGGGCCGCGCTCGCTGTCGCCGGCGACGGGAGAATCCGTCCCCCGATTCCTCGGCGGTAGAGAGCGGCCCGCGGAGACGGACAATGTAGAGCCACTTCTCGAGACGTTCTGCTCCACGCGCAGTACAGGGGTGGGAGGGCTGGCCAGCGTTTTCCCCACCCGCTCCGCCGTACGGGAGTTTTTCACGGACGCCTGCACGTAAGAATCGTCGATGACCTTTGGAAGTTTTCGTTTCTTCGAAGGGCCCGGGCCGCCGGGCCGCGGTGTCGGCCGATGAGGATTTGAGCGTCAGGGAAGTCCTCGCGCCTCGTCGTGGTGTCCGCGCGGCGACCGACGGCGAACGTAGGGTAGGGATGCCTCCCGAAGAAATGAATTTCAATTCAATTCGGACCTCCGGCGACTCGGGGGGGGGGGGGGGGGTTGCGTGGGTGGGGGGAGGGAGAAATCCCCTCGTCATGCTCGCGCTTGTCTCCGATTTGAAATACATGCAGCGTTACATTGCGCCGCTCGACAGCGCGGAGACACGTGGACGTTTTAGCTTGTGCGTGGGTGAGTTTTCAGTGGCCTAGCGAGTGTACGTAGGTGTGTGTGCGTGCGTGAGAATTAATTGGGGAGCGGTAGCGCAGCGGTGAGCTTGCGCTGCGCTGCAAACCCGGCGACCCGAGATCGATTCCTGCTCACGGTCAGCAACAGTGACGATTATTGGAACTGGTCCTTGGCCTCCCATAGGTCGACTCAGCCTTAAATGAGTACCTGGTGCAGGTGGCCGGGAGCGGTTCTGGCCACCGACCCCCCACGTGTGGCGTGCCGGCCTTCGTAGGCGCTGCTCAGGTGCGTGTGAAGTAAATGTTTTACCGGCGTTTGCCGATAAGAGCATCGCACGCGGGGCGCCCCCGTGGAGGACCCTCACTTGGGGGAAACCGTCCGCGTCGCATTTGGAGCGCGACGGGGAGGTGCGGGGCGTCGGATCGGGGCATCGGCCGCTCCAGGCCGCACCAGGCCAGCCACCCGCTCTGCGATACCGCGGGCAGATAGCCACGCGCGCTCGCTAAATCGATGGCTTGATAAACCGATGTAATCGCCCGCCGGCACGAGCACTCGAAAGCGCCGCGTGCTTATGTACCGCCGCGTGGAGGGGAACGTCGCGATAGCGGTGGTGGTGGCGCAAGGCGGCGAGTTGTGTTGCGCTCGCGAGCCGTACCCATCCCGGCTACCCCGGTTCAATTCTTGACCGAGGTGCATGCAATGCCCGTCGTAACCGGGTTGGCATCTGTGCCTGGGACAGCCCTCACAAGTAGTGCTGTGATTGACAAAGGGTTGGCAATATTCGTAATTATGGACATAAAGCTATCAACGAAACACGTGATAATAATAATAAAAACATCAACGGAGAGACGGGCGAGGAATGGAACGCATCCAAGATTACGGCCGCCGCGGAGATGGAGCGATGGAATCGGTTCATGTGCAAGGTGCCGGGTGGATCGTTCCACCCATGGGATCACGACGGGTGGCGCCCGGCGGCTTGGGCCGATGATGATGATGATGATGGCAACTACCGTGTAGTCGCTAACAGCATTTTCGCCAACTGTCTCTCAGGCTAAACCGGATTATGTGTATGTTGCGTAAAGCACATGCTTGTGTACATATGCGTGTTGGTGTTTATACCACGGAGAGAGGGTATAATCCATTTCCCCAGAAGTATCCCAGTTGTCAGGTGAGCCCACGTTAATGACAACCTCTGCGTGTCTGCGTGTGCAGCTGTGTGGGTGTGGTTGTGTACGTGTCGCTGTTTAGGGAGCGGTGGCGCAGTGGTTAGCGCACTGCGTTATGAACCCAGCGACCCGACTTTGATGGCTCATGGCCAACACCACTGCTGATTATCTGAACCGGTCCTGGGCCTCTCCTAGGTCGACTCAGCCTCAAATGAGTACCTGGTGCGATGTGTAAACATCGCCGCTAGGGAGACAAAGGCAGCCGGGCATGGTGTTTGCTACCAACCCACTCGTGTGCCGTGCCGGCCTTAATAGGTGCTCGCTAACAGCACTCGCTCACACAGTCTGTTAAGGCTACACGGGGGATCTTCGTCTGTGTCTTGTTTGCGCACCTCCTACGTGCTTGCTACAACATCGCCTGACCCAACGGTCTACAAGTCGTCAAAGGTGATTTTGCTGAATGCCTGTCGCTATCGCTGGTGCGCTGGTGCATGTGTGTGCATGCACGCGCCGCTGTCACCGCCACTTAGCGGCGAATGCGGCTATTGTTGCCCCTTCCGTGTGTTCGTGTATGGGCGCTCGCAAGCAGCTCTTGCCCCGACAGCCAGTGAAGGCTACGGAGGGGGGGGTGGAATCCTTGTCTATGTCAGCGTACACGCGTGTCCGTCTGAGTGCGTGCCCGCCCGTGCGTTTTCCCCGCGCCGCAGGTGCTGCTGTCGCTTGGCGCGTCGCTGCGGGCGGTGCGTGCGTGCCCGTCCTCGCTGGAGCTCACCGCGCCCATCGTGCGGCACCGCGCGTCGCGCCTGCGCGCCGCCGGCTGTGACGTGGCGCGGGGCGGCGGGGCGCTGTCGCTCATCGCCGGCACCAGGCGCGAGTTTGAGGACCGCCTGGCCACGCTGGGCCACACGAAGGCCCGCCCCCTCTTCAACCCCGTGGCGCCGCCGCCCGACGCTGGCGAGCGGTGAACGAGGTGGTTGCGGCGCGCGCCGCGGTTCGAGCCCGGCGGCCGCCCCGGTTAACACTGCAGGTGAGTTCACGAGAAAAGCACGAGCTCTCTGCTTCACAACGGACTTCGGAGATCCCGCGACACTCCAAAATTTGCCACGTCCGAAATTTTACCGCAAATTATCTCTCAGGGTGTAACCGCTTTGCAACGTTGCCCCCGTCGCACGTGAGACAAAGTGCCGTGGTAATGGCTTGTGTGCTATGAAATCCGCATGAATACCAAACGTAGTCGGGATTTGATGCTGGTGATAATGTTTGGACGAGCGCCGACAGGATGGCCAAACCGGTGCCCATGTGACCAGCGGAGGGCAGCTGTGTTTGTGGCTTTGCACACGAGTGAGTGTGTGTGTGTAAACATCATCGCTGGCGAGACAAAGGCAGCCGCAATTGTTTTTGGGCAGAAACAAAAAAAAATAGCAACCCCATTGCTTTTCTGGCGTGCAGACGTGCAAGGGTGCTGATGTATTTTGAGATGCAATTGCCATCTGGTGGCAAATTCGGAGCTTAAACGTCGCACACAAGTGCCGTACCTATGTGCTCGCCCCATTCGCCGTTTAGCCTTTACAGAAATCGCACAGACATGGGGATGCAAATCAAATGATTAAGTACATTTATTTTTTAAAATTTGTCAACTCATTGAAACGCTCTCGCGTGGCAGAAGCAAGCTTAAGCCAAAGTTTAGGGCCCCAAGCAGACCAAACGGGGCCGTGTATTTAAGAAAAAAAAAATAGGGGAACACCAAATCAAAGTCGGTATCCTCATAAAGTAAATTAAAAACAAGCCCCTAATTGTAATATACCACTACTGCAAACAATTTCGTTGAAATTTCGTCCATTCGGGTATTTCAAACACCCGCAACAGAAAGCCAAGCAAGGTTTTGGCTTTTCCTGGCCTCCGACGGAGTTTGAGTTCTGACTCTGCGCCTCCGAGTTCTCCGACTGGTGGAGCGTGCGAGCGCTATCGTGTTCGTCATCCTCATTATAACGCTCGTCCATCACCCAGCCCCGCGCCACCCCCCGAAAAATGTACATTTTCTGCGCCCGGTTGAATTCGCTGGCAGCACCACGGGGCGGCCAACGGGCGAGTTAAATCCACCCCCGCCGTCACCCGCTCGCCGCCGTGGTCGCACGGAGAGATGTGGAGAGGAAGGGCCCCCAGTGAACCCAGCGTCAGGCCCCGTCCGTCGGCTGTCAGACCCCCCGCGCGGCCCCCTCTTCCGTGGCCCCTTGGCATGCCGGGACGACCCTTGTCCTCAAATGCTTTTACGCTCCTGCTCCTTAATATGGTACGGCTTCCCCTTTGCTGGGATGCTCGTTTATTGTTTTTCGTTTGTTCTGTGATGCCTTTTCTTTGCTTATTGCTGCGGCTTTTACCGCGTTCATCGGTGTTTCACCGTTTATCGTGCCTCTTTTCTAAATCGCCCTCTGCAGTGACGTTGAAATACTTCCGGTCAGGTGGCTCGGGTTGTGTGGGGGCGATCAGCTCATCATCATCATCGTCGCTCCGGGCGGATACAATGAGCATTCCCTGTGTGAGGAATTCGACGGCGGTTGCGCTACGGATAAACTCGCCCCGGCAATAGGAATGTGGAATTCCCACCACTGGCTCATTGCTCTAAACGGAAGACGAGCACCAATACGTTATTACGTTCGTTTCTCAGTCCGCTTGTCCTGGTGAGGGTCGCGGCTGCAGCGTGTTGAGTAGTGGCGATCCAGACCTCCCTTTCCTACCACACTACACATTACTATACACTACACTACTATACACGTTACACTACTATACACGTTACACTACTTTACACTATACATTACTATACACTACACTACTATACACTATACATTACTATACACTATACATTACTATACACTACACTACTATACACATTACACTATATACTACACACTACTATACACTACTATACACTACACTATTATACACTACTACACACTACTATACAAGACACTACTATACACTGCACTACTATACACGTTACACTACTACACTATACACTACTACACACAACACTACTATACACGACTACACACAGACTCCCAGCTGTTCCCAGGCCAGCCGAGCGACATCATCCCGCCAGCGTGGTCCTGGGCCGGCCCCGGGGTCTTCGCCCAGTGGCACGTTGCTGCTGCTGCTGCCCGGTAGAGAACCAGGGGGAGTCTACCGGGGGGGGGGGCATCCTCACCAGGTGCCCGAACCACCTCGACTGGCTCCTCTCGATCCGGAGGAGCAGCGGCTCGACTCTGAGGCTCTCCTGGATTACCGAGCTCGTCACCCGATCACGGAGAGTGGTGAGCCCGGCAACCCCGCGGAGAAACCTAACTTGGGCCCCTTGTCATTACCAGTACGTTCCTGCTCAAATACGAGGGGGGAAATCTCTTTTTGACTTTGCTTGAATAAGGTTAAATGCCGCCGTGGCTCGTTAATTCTGTTCTAAATCTACCCTCGACCTTCGTATTATCTTATTCTCTTTTTTTTACCTTGCTGATCTTGACAAGGAGACTAAACCACCACGCGAGCTCCGGTCAGCCTCGCAGCAGCGGCAGCAGCTTTTCGCTGGCCATCGAATTAAGACGGAGGTCACCGCATCGCGTGGCGCTTACCGATGCGCTTCTGCGGCCGTCTGGAACACTCTTGTTTCCGATCTTAGAAAGCCACTGGGAGCAGTGCACTTTTAAATTATCTAGATTGAAAACTCATTTCCTTAGAAGTGCTTTTTTGCATCTAGTTTGTTGTCCTTCTGATTTAACACGGTTGGCTACGTACAGCGCACAAGAATTCCAACGTACAGAACAAACCAAAAAAGGACCGCTCGATTTCCGCCCGCGTCCTTTTGCACGCTTAGCTTTCATACGAATTCATATTTGTTTAAAATACCTTTGGCCAAACTGCGCGGCGTTGCCCCTGGCTGCTTCCCCAATCCCCGCCGTTGCACAAAACTCCGCCACAAACAAAACCCCCCTCGGTTCGCCGCGGCGCAATCGCCGACAATCACCGGAGCATTTCACCGGTGGGGCGCGCCTTGTGCTCCCGTGCCGATGAGATGCGAGAGCGGTTAAGTCGACGTGAAATTGGCTCGCAGCTGAGGTTTTCTTTCTGTTTATCGTGAAAACAAACGCCGAAGGGAACCCGCCCCGGTGCATCGCAGGGATCGCGGAGACCTTAGGGGCAGTGGGGAAGAGGCCTTTATCTAGCAGTGGATTGACCCACTGAGATGTTTGCACAAAGTGTTGGTGTGTAACGGTGTTTTTTCTGCAATATTTTGCTGTCTTTTCTTGGATTTTCTGTTTGCACTTAGTCACATATTCACTTTAAGTTGTTTTCTTGTTCATGTTTTTGTTTTTTGTTTGTTGCGGTTGCACCCGATTCAAGAGCCGAATGGCTCACAGGGCTGTACCTTAATAAATGAACTTGAACGTGACCCTAGCACCTCCGATTAGCACGGTGGGCTATGTACGGTGCGAAAGAAGTTCAACGTACACACGTGACGATGGTAATGATGATTACTGGGATACGGTAATCTGTAAGACCTCTTGGAAGACTTGTTGATAGAGGTGCTGTACGTTAATGTTGGAGAATTAGTTACTTATAGTGAAACATAATTTCAAACAAAACTGTCGGGGTAGATTAAAATAACATCCAAAGAATAGCAGGTATATTGCAATGAATGTAATTGATATCAATAACTTTAATTAACATGGAAAGATGAGAATTACGGCGATTATTAACAATTATATTTCTCTTCTTGGTTCTTTCGGTAAAGTCACGTAGAAGGGAAGTAATAAAATAATAAAAATAAAACATAATAATTTAAAACATAATAATTTAAAACATAATAATTTATTTTTATTATTTTATTACTTCCCTTCTACGTGACTTTACCGAAAGAACCAAGAAGATGAATCCCTGCAGTCACGAAAGCTTTAAATCGAAATTATATTTCTATTATACTTTTGGAATATCTCGTCTGTTGCACGGACGATAAAAAAAAACAAATCTCCACACTTTTGTCCGACTGATTTCCCTCGTGATAAACTGCCGGCTACGCACGGAGGGGGAATCCGTGACTAGGCACATGGCCGGTACTGCCCGTAGGTACGTTTGTATTTTGAGCGACCGATTTACTAATTAAGGTCTCCCTGTGCCACCCTAGACCTCTTGGTTGACTGGAGCAGCCCGAGGCGAATCTAGAATGTGGCGCCGTGGTCGCAGGATGTCATCTCCCTCGCCTGGTATACAGGAGGTTGTAGGTTCGATCCCATATTTGGAGTTTGCGTGTCTCTCCCCGTGGTGGATTTTTCTCCCCGGGTCCTCCGGTTTTTCCCTCCACATTTAAAATCAACACGCGCTTAGAGTATTTGGCTGCTGTAAATGACCACGTGATGATAAGCCACTTCGTTGAGCTCTCATTTGCGGCCAGGTCGCTTGTGAAAAAAAGCTACATAGCTCAGTGGGCCTTACCTGCTAAAATAACAAGAATAGTTAACAATAGAAACGTTTCAAGAGTGGGGTGTTAGTACGCGCTGATCCCGAAATGTCAAACTTTTTTGAAAAAGTGCGCTGCATTCGTAATAATAACACTAAAAAGAATAATAAATCAACGTATTATTTCTGTTCAACGTAAATAGAAATTCAAATTTTTGACGATTCCGTCACCGTCCCCCGGACACGCCAGGTGTCTGTGCGCGCGCGTCACGGAAATCACAAGCTGGTAAGCCACGCCAATCACCGAGCCTCTTGTTTCAGTTGGGAATTCGGAGCGTGACATATGCACGGTATACATGTGACAATGGGCTAGAGTCATTAAACACCCAGAAAGCCCCCTGCGATCGGCATCTGTGTCTTGTATAAACGATGCATTTATACGCGCACGCTCCGACACCCTCGCAATAGTTTCGCTTCGTTTTTAGCTTTCCGCCACACACGCCCGTCTGTGCTGTGCAGCGTGACATTTAAAAATAAATACGAAAGAATGCTCCGACGTTATATTGTTGGCAATCGTTGTGAGTTTTGTGCACGAGACATTTTTCTGAGCATAATCGAGGGTTTTCAGGTTAGGTGGCGTAAGTACAAACGTCTCGTTAAACCCGCCTCCACCCGACACGGCCAATTAGTTAGGTTTGTCACGTGAACAAAACGTGCCGATTCGTTACTAGTTCAGCACTAACCGCTTGTGTGTTGGGGAGTAAAACCCACAACGTTTACAATCCGAGTACGACCTCTCGCCAGTAATTACAACCAGCATCATCATGCGGACAGGCAGATTTGTGGAGAAATCCTCCTGACTGCGGTCTCATATAGAGGGATACATGTGACGTCGTGTCACTTGTGAGTCAATCACGTACGAAGGCCAGAGGGGGGGGTTAATGTATGGCTGTGTCGGGTGGTGGCGGGTTTTACGACGCATTTATAAAGTCACGTAGAAGGGAAATGATAAAATAATAAAAATAAAACATAATAAAATAATTCTCACGACGTTTCAACCACAACGCAAGCAGCCGTCCTTTTGGCACTTGCGTTGTGGCCGAAACGTCGTAAGAATTATTTTATTTTTATTATTTTATCATTTCCCTTCTACGTGACTTTACCGAAATAACCAAGAAGACGAATCCCTGCATGCACGAAAGCTTTAAATCGAAATTTGACGCATTTATATTTACGCGATCTAACCCAAGATGTCTCTATTATGGATAATGTTCGTCGCGAAAGCTCTACCACGTGTTACATTTTTTGAGCAGTTTTACGTTTTGGCCCCTGAAGATATCCACCATCACCCTTCTCGACGTTTTATTCCACTTCGCGCCTTCGTACTCGCGGTGAGCGGTGCCCCGCCCCGTGTTCGAGAGAGACTTTGCAGAAGGAGATGTCGCAGAACTACTGTTGAGACGCCTTCCAAGGGACCGTGTCCATCCGCACACGAGTGGGGTGAATTATCCAAAACCGCCCCCGCCCCTTCTCCAGGGAAATGCTGTCCGATTTCGCGGCAGGCAAACCCAGATTTTGCATTAACCGCAGATGGAATTCAGCCGTATTTGGCACGAAAAAAAACGCATTTAACACCGTGGATATTTCTGTGCATTAATTAGTAAATCGGGCTGTGCCTGTCAACTGGCTGTACTTGAGAACGCGGTTTAATCACAGCGCCGTCTATGTGAGTCTATGGGTCTCTGTGTGAATCTGTGGGTCTCTTGTGTGAGTCTATGCGACTCTGTGTGAGTCTGTGCACCGCTGTGTGAGTCTACGGGTCTCTGTGTGAGTCTATGGTTCTCTGTGTGAGTCTATGGGCCGCTGTGTGAGTCTATGGGTCTGTGGGAGTCTACGGGTCTCTTGTGTGAGTCTTTGGGTCTCTGTGTGAGTCTATGGTTCTCTGTGTGGGTCTGTGGGTCTCTATGCGAGTCCGCGGGTCTCTACGTGAGCCCATCAACTCGCTCCACTTGAGAACGCGGTTTAATCACAGCTCCGTCTATGTGAGTCTACGGGTCTCTTGTGTGAGTCTATGGGTCTCTGTGTGAGTCTATGCGCCACTGTGTGAGTCTATGGGTCTCTGTGTGAGTCTATGCGCCGCTGTGTGAGTCTACGGGTCTCTGTGTGAGTCTATGGTTCTCTGTGTGAGTCTATGGGCCACTGTGTGAGTCTATGGGTCTGTGGGAGTCTACGGGTCTCTGTGTAAGTCTATTGGTCTCTGTGTAAGTCTATGGTTCTCTGTGTGAGTCTATGGTTCTCTGTGTGGGTCTGTGGGTCTCTGTGCGAGTCCACGGGTCTCTACGTGAGCCCATCAACTCGCTCCACTTGAGAACGCGGGTTTAGCTGCTGCGGTTTAATCGCCGCTGAGACCCGGAGTCGAACCCAGGCTGTGCGCGACGCCGGCTCAGAGTCGACCTGGCAAGCGCCGGATCGGCCCCCACGCCGCCGCCGCCGCGTGCGAAGTTTCACGCTCGGCTGGCGAGGTCACTTGTTTTTGTCGGCACAGCGGCACGGAGCCGTGAGCCGGTAATTAAATTCTCGCAGGTGGTCCCGGGGCACGCCGCGGCAGATGGCCGATCATTGTGCCGGCCGCTGAGCCGTGCGGGCGACTCCACCGTCGCTCCCGGCTCCTGGTCAGAGCGAGGCGACGGAAATCCGTCTCGGGTTTTTCTTTTTTCCATCCACGATCCATCCAGCGGCGCCCCGATTCGTTGGATAACTTCGTAATTTTTTTTCGTAATTTTTTTTTATTGATCCAACCATGGGGGGTGGGGGCGGGGGTGTACAATGCGGCTCGGACGACGGAGACTTGTGTTGCCTCCGAAACGTCGTGAGTTTTTATTTTTTATTAATTTTAATTTCACTTTTTTTACCTACGTGACTTTACCGAAAAAACTAAGGGTACAGCTCAGACAGACAGCCGACGCGGACGTGTAGGACCGTAGCGTCTTGGTAGGCGCGTCAGGTGTCTTTTCTTCGGGGAAGGTAGGGGGGAAAGGGGGGAGGGGGGCAGGGGTGTAATTCGTAATATAATAATAATGATAATAACCGTGAAGAGAGTTGGTATAGCCAGCTAAGCGTCATGCTGCGTTGATCCGAGCGAAAGGCCGGCACGATGGGAGGTAGTTCCAAAATCCAAAATCTGCAAGACGTGCTCGTGTCTGGGCTTGCATCGTCGATACATTATTTTCCAGTTTTGATTGAAGAAAACGAATTCTGGGCCGAGCGCGTGCCGCTACGTTGGGCCAACTCCAGCACCAGAGACCCTCGGACGAACCCCGGCCCCATGCACCCTGGGCCTGCCTGGGGCAGTGCCGAACCAACACAAATCTGCAATAACCGCTCGACCTCTCTACTCTCTCGCGTCTGTCTCTGCCTTCATCTCCGCTCTCCGTCCTGGCCTCACGCAGCAATTGCGCGGCGCTTTCACACACGCTTCTGCGGCCGTCTGGAACGCTCTTCCTTCCTATGTTGGGCAGCCACTGGGAGCTGAGCACTTTTAAATCGTCGTCTCGTTTGAAAACTCATTCCTTTAGAACTGCTTTTTTGTGTTTTTAGTTTGTTGTCCTTCCCCCGGACCTCCTATTAGCACGGCTGGCTCCGCACGGTGCGATAGAAGTTCAACATTCACACATACTCTCTCGCTGTTTTCTCTCTCGTCTTTTCTCTGTCGTCACTCTCATCTCTCTCTCTACTCTTTCCATTCTCCTCGTTCTCCTTCTTCTCTGCGCTCTCCTCCTATCCTCCGCACACTTTTCTCTCTCCTCCCTCCTGTGTCCTACCCACTCCCCCTCGCTCTCTCATCCTTGCTGTCTCCTCTCGACTCTCTGCTGTTTCCTATTTACTCTCCTTCGTATTCGCTCATGCCTCCCGTTCCTCTCTACTCTCCTCCTATCCACACTCGCTCTCTACTCTGTCCACCTTCTGAAGCGCTCGCTCGTCACCGTGGCGTGCGCGATGACACCACCACCACGTGACTTTTCTTTTGTATTGTGTGCGGTGCTTTCAGCGCCACAGCGGATTTGTAACGATTTGTAACGTTTGTTTTCTTTTATGTGCTGGTGACTTTGTGTATTTCATATTGAAATCGCCTCCAGTGCTTTTGCTGCTGGCGGCAATAAAAGTTGTTTAAAAGTCAAGTCTACTCTGTCCACCCTCGCCACATCTCCTGATTCCTTTCGACTCGTACTCTCTCCCGCTCTCTCCCGCTCTCCTTCCGCCCCCCCTCTCTCACCTCCGCTCTCTTTGCCTCTCTCTCTCTCCGCTCCTCCCCCCTCTCCGCCTCTCCGTCGGCCGGAGTGAGTGACGGGAGCGGCCCTAATGGGGAGGCTGCGATGGGTGTCAGTGGCGGCGCTCGCGCGGCGCGGTGATTGATGCGGAGAGAGTCATCACTCTCCGATAATGACTCGCCGTGTTTAATCATCGTGGAACCGGTCACTGTTTTAAGCACTTTAATCGCCACCGGCTTTCTCCTCCCTCAGCACAAATGCATTAATTAAGGCCCATTCCTGAATCGGAAAGTGGATATTAAATAGTGGCCTTCTGCCCGCATTAACTCGCGCGCGCGTGCGCGTATAATCTGTGCGCGTGTGTGTGTGTGTGTCTGCGCGTGTTTTGTGTGTGTGTATTTCTGTGTAGTGGTGAGCACAGCTAATGGTGAGCACAGCTAACCACTACACAGCTAACCACGACACAGCAAACCACGACACAGAAATACCACGACACAGGATGGGTGGACGGACGGTGCTGCCAGCGACGTGAGCGTCGGGGTCGAGGCGACGCACATCAGCTCGCCGTGTCGACAACGAAGTGACGACGTATTTGCGAAACGACGTGAAGGGGGGGGGGGGGAGGAGACATAACCCGGGGTATCGCTGGACAATAATAGGAGAGAGAAAACGAATACATATATATGTAATGTTCACCCCGCCCCCACCAATGACTCCTCGGCATTAATGCTGGAGCACAAAATCACATTTTCCGGTGGGGAGTGTGTGGGGAGTGGGGTGTTTGGTGGCGGGTGCCGGCAGTTTCAGGCCACTGTCAATTCAATTTGTTTTGGGCCGTGTAAAGATTGCGAGCGTGAGCCCGGCACGCCAGAGAGAACCGCCGTCAGATTTTTATTTTTTTCAAAATGCATTTCTCAGAGAGAGAGAGAGGAGGGTGAGAGAGAAGGGTGGTGTTGGTGGTAGTGGTTGTTGGGGTGAGCGGAGAACGGCGTGGAGAGAGAGAGAGATGCACACACGCTCGCTCGCACGCTCTCACACACACACAGAGAGACTGCAGCGGATCGCAACGGGCACTCAACGGCCGCACGCGAGCGCTGTTGACGTGTGCACGCTGCTGCTGCTGCTGCCGCTGCCCTTTGCAGTGGCGGCGTGTGCTGGCAGGGTGTTAATAATGCAGGAGACCCTGCCACGCGCATCAGCCAGCCCGTGTACATCTTTCTGTCCGTTCGTCCGTCCGTGTGTGTCACGTTTTGGTGTGTGTCTGTGTGTTTCTGTCGGTGTGTGTGTCTGTGTGTCCGTGGCGGTGTGTGTGTGTTTGTGTGTGTCTGTCGGTGTGTGTGTGTGTGTGTCTGTCTGTGTGTGTCTGTGTGTTTCTGTCGGTGTGTGTGTCTGTGTGTCCCTGGCGGTGTGTGTGTGTCTGTGTGTGTCTGTCGGTGTGTGTGTGTCTCTGTCGGTGTGTGTGTGTCTGTGTGTTTCTGGCGGTGTGTGTGTGTCTGTGTGTCTCTGTCGGTGTGTGTGTGTGTCTGTGTGTGTCTGTCGGTGTGTGTGTGTCTCTGTCGGTGTGTGTGTCTGTGTGTCTCTGTCGGTGTGTGTGTGTCTGTGTGTCTGTCGGTGTGTGTCTGTGTGTCTCTGTCGGTGTGTGTGTATCTGTGTGTCTCTGTCGGTGTGTGTGTGTGACTGTGTGTCCCTGGCGGTGTGTGTGTGTGTCTGTGTGTTCCCTTCCGTTGTGCGTGTGTCTGTGAATCTCTTGTCTGTATGTTCACCTGGCCTATCTACTTCGTCCTCCTGTTTGTGTATCCACGTGTGTCTTTGTACCGTGTCTGTGTGTGTCTGTGTCTGTCTGTCTGCCGATATGGCCACTTATCTGTATTCTTGCCTGTATGTATATGTAACCAAGTGAATGTCTGTATGTGCCTGTTTGTGTTGGCGTCCATAGGCGCTCGCTAACAGCACTTGTCCCAACAGTCTGTTATGGCCAATGGGGGTTGGGCGATGGGGGGGGGTGAGGGTGGCTTTCTCTTCGTCTTCAAATTTTTCTTCATGTGTGTGTGTGATTTTCTGAGTGTCTCTTTCATCGCCATCGGCATCAATCCGTACGCAATTCCCAACACCCACGAAGAGCGCCTGGACTGAGAAACCTTAAACACGAGCAGAGTTGTTTTCGCCCCTGACCGGCGATGTGAAATTTTATCATCATCATCATGATAAAAAAAATGAATTCATTACATCCATTCCGTTTTTCAGTTTTAAAGCAATGCGACGTATATGACGCGATGAAAACAAATACGCGACATATGATCGAGTTGGTAAAAAAAAACGTTGAATACATTGGTTTTACAAGTACAAAACTAAAACTTTGCAGGTATAAACAATTATATATTTTTTGAATTTCAGCCAAAGTCGCAAACAGACTTGAAGCCACGTCTTGCACTGCAGCCAGATTACCACCCCCCCACCACCTCCGCGTCGAGGAAGCACTCTGAAGCGTCAGTTTTTAAACGGCACCCAAACACGCGGAAAAACAAACATTCTGCAACAACAAAACCACCGTCATATCCTGAAGAACTGCTTGCATCGTTGGGTTCCTCTTGTCTTAGATCATCCGTCACAACAGATGGGAGCAAATGTGACCCAACCGACTGACGCAGCAGTGATGCAGCGACAGACGAAAAAAAACTGTTGACGGGGTTGTTTTTATTTAGTTCCCCCGACAAAATCGGGCCTCGTCCACGCCGTGCGGTCACCGCAGCGCTCGCCGCTGCCAAGGAGGGGAAGACGGCAGGACGGCAGCTTTCACGCGGGGGGCCCCGCTCTGTTGTTAGGCGAGAAATCACGACGCGTGACATCGACGCGGCGACCGAACATCGGCCAGTCGCATCTCCCCTCCTCCAGAGCGACGGTGGCGCAACTCCCGCACAAGTCTGCCCTCTGGGAAGCGAGTAGTGCACGGGCAGTCCCCGCTTAGCGCGACCTCGCAGAACGCCGATTCGTTGTAGCGCTCTTTGTCCTCGATAACGTTGTAACCACATTTTTTACTGGTAGGAACCTCCTGGTTACACCAGCCCACAGGGGATTATTGTGTCCGTCGTGCAGGGAGGGGTTGGGTGGGGAGGGAGGGGCTGGGTGGGGAGGGTGGGGCTGGGTGGGGAGGGTGGGGAGAGGCTGGGTGGGGAGGGTGGGGAGGGTAGGGCTGGGTGGGGAGGGGCTGGTCACCCCGTGGTGCCCTTATAAAACTCAACGTTTAACCTACTCACGCCGGCTTGTGCCCGCCCTCACAGTCGTGCATATTTGCGGAATACACCACGCCGCCGTTGACCCTGGCCATTGACCGAGCAACCCAACCTTCCTACTAGCTCCCTCCGCAGGAGGAAATGAGTTTTTTAAGAAAATCAAAGCGTATACTGACTGCCATGTGGAGTCCCCCACAAGCAAACTGTGGACTCCATGAGCTCGGCTAATTCAGAGGGCATCAAGCGAACCGAGCAAAAGCTCAGGGCTCTAAACGTACGAAGAGGCCCCGCGTTCAGAAAAATTGATAAAAAATTATAGGTGTGCACAACATATCATCACGAATTGGAATCCTAATAAACGTAACGAGCGGAGTAACGATTGAAATGAATCCAATCACTGTCATCGCTTCTTGTCTCATGCCACCCTCCTGCCTCGTCGACATTTCTCACCTCGACGGATCTACGAATCTCTTTCTCTGCCTCTCTTCCATCGTCTCAATGCCGGGAGTTTATAGCAAAAATTCTACATTTTAGTTTCGGGCCACCATTGGGTTGGCACTACCACCATGCTGCCCCCCCCCCACCCCCTATGGAGTTCCCCGCGGGGGGGGTGAAGGGGGGCCGGTCTCGCGTGAGCGCCGTTCCCGCGCGACGGGAGGGCCAACATAATTACGCGTTACGCGATCGTCACGGCCCATTAGCGTGGGGCCCACGCCGCGGCCGCCGTGATTGATAACGTTGACACGCGCGCTCGTGGTGACGGTTGTGGCGATGGTCGTGGTGACGGTGGTTGGCGGTGTTGCTGGTGGTGATGGTCGCAGTGGCATCGTGGTGGTGGTGTTAGCGGTGGCGGTTAGGTTGGTGGTGGCAGACTTTGTGGTGGTGGTGGTACCATCCTTCATAGGTGCTACTCGCTAACAGCACTCGCCCCAAAAATTCTGCTTAAGGCTATATGGGCGACCTTTGTTTTGGTTGCTCATGCCACTGCTGGCAGAAGGGCCTCCACTAGAATGGGGGGGGGGAGGGCACTAGAGACCCCTTCTACAGCGTATTTGGCCTACTTTTCCACATTGGGGGGCAGACATCGTGCAAGAGTTGCGAAAATCCGCACGTGGCAGGCCTGCCTGTCTGCCTGCCTGCCGAGCGACTGACTAACCGACCGACCGACTCTGGGGAACCCATTCGTACTGCGGGGACAGACGGCGGCGAGGCACATTGAAGGAAACCTCTCCTCCGTGTTTCCAACTGCCGCGCCGGAAGAACGAATCGATCCGCCGACATCTGGATGGCCGGCGGTGGCATCGACGTACACAAACGCAGCAGGATGTACAGCAGGTGACAAGCGCATTTTGTCTTAAGTAAGCAATATAGGTGATGGAATACACTTCGAGTGTAAAGAAGCGTATAAAGTCATTTTTTTTCTTCGCACAGCCGCATGCGGCTTCGGAGCCACGGGTTGCCCCCCCCCCCCACCGCCCCCCCCCCCACCGCCCCCCCCCCCCCCCCCCCCCACGTCCTGCAGCGCACGAGACGCTGATTACGATTCCGCGCGGGTCCAACGACTCGTCACCTGGTGCCGGGCCGCCCCCATTAGTCGATCTCATTTCGGGCGGAGCGCGCGGGGAACGCGGCGGCCTGATGCGGAACGATGATGCCCAGGGCACGGATTCATCCGTAAGCATCAGCGTCTGGCAAATAACAACGCGCGGACACAAAGCGATGATCGGCTGCGCCCCGTTTACGCTCGCCGGGAAAATTGGCGGCGGCGATTAGATTTGCGGCGTGGCTGAAACAAAGCCCGGATAGCTGTTACGCATTTTGGAGTTGATTTCGATTGCCCCGTTGATCCGTCACTGTTTGAATTCGAGGTGAAATTAAGTGACCCCTGGGGAGCCCGTAATTGTAACAGCATCGGGTAGAATAAACCCCGGAGAAAATGAACCACGTGCTGCTTATAGGATTTTGAGGGCCCTCCAGCAACATGCGAGTCACCTCTGACCCAGCGTCATGCGTGTTGGGAGAAGGGGGCGGGGGGGGAGACGGTGGTAGAGGGGAGGGCAGCGAATGAATCCACAGCCCGGCGTGGTGATGGTGGCTGAGGTGAATTAGTGGGTGTTGTAAAATGTGGTGGTTGTGGCGTTGTGTGCAGATGGATGAGTGGGGAGCGGTAGTGCGGTGTCGCGGTTAGCGCTACGCTGCGCTACGAAGCGGGCGACCCGAGTTCGAATCCTGCTCACGGCCAACACCAGTGACGATTATCCGAAGCAATCCTGAGCCTCCCATAGGTCGACTCAGCCTCAAATGAGTACCTGGTGCAGTGTGTAAAGATCGCCACCGGGAATACAAAGGCGGCCGGGCGTGGTGCTACCCACCTCCTCGTGTGCCGTGCCGGCCTTCATAGGTGCTACTCGCTAACAGCACTTGCCCAAACAGTCTGTTAAGGCTATACGAGGGATATTTGTCTTTGTAGAGAGAGGTGGTAGTGGTGACCGAGGTGGTAGAGGTGGTGTGTGTGTAGATGTGGTGTGTGTGTGTAGATGTGGTGTGTGTGTGTAGATGTGGTGTGTGTGTGTAGAGGTGATGTGTGTGTGTGTAGAGGTGGTGTGTGTGTGTCGAGGTGGATGAGTGTGTGTCGAGAAAGGCAGAGGTGGTGATGGTGCTGGGAGGTGGATGCATGGGAGCAGAGAATGTGGTGGTGGAGGTAGTGATGGGGGTGGCGATGGCAGGTCGTGCCATCATCTCGCGAAACAGCAATCCGTCTCGCCCCTGCACACGAGCTGATTTCACCGCTCCATCTCGGCGATTGACGTGCTCTCGGGCTTGAAATAACAAACAAAAGAATATATAGACACACGCTACAACGTAGCATATCCGACCGTAGCGTGTCCGACGTGACCAATTAACCGCCTCCACCCCGGTGCCGCATGTGCGCTGTGGCTATCCTGCTCTGTCGCTGTTCAGACCTTCACCTGCAGCCCGCCCCAGCCCAGCCCAGCCCAGCCGGCTATGGGATGCTGTGCGGTGTGGCCCAGATGTCTTGTGACCCCCCCCCCCCACCAATTAATTGACCCCTCGCGATTTCTCCTCACCTTTCGCATATTAATTTCTGATTTAAATAAACCTTACTTAAAAAAAAACACGTTCAGTTTTTAGAGTATTAATTGGGGGGGGGGGGGGGGGGGGGTCACGAGACATCTGGACCACCCTGTACTAATACTGGACAGTGTTTTGTAGCCGCAAATGCAAATCCCCGACTGCCGCCTCCTCGTCCGCGCACAGCCCGAGGGGGAAACAAACCTCGGGGGCTGCGGCACGCGAGGCCGCCTCCCCCCGGGGGGCTGCGAGAGGGTGGGGGGGGGGGGGCTTCGTGTGAGTCCAGCCCGGGGGGCGGGGGGGCGAGGGGGGGAGGGGAGGGGGGGTGAGGGGGGGGGGAGGAGGTTAGGGGGGGCGAGGGGGGGGAGGAGGAGGTGTGGGGGGGGAGGTGAGGGGGGGACGAGGGGGAGAGGAGGCGAGGGGGAGCGAGGGGGGGAGGGAGGAGGTGAGGGGGGGGGGAGGTGAGGGGGGGGGCGAGGGCGGGGAAGAGGTTAGGGGGGGGCGAGGGTGGGGAGGAGGTGAGGGAGGGGCGAGGGGGGGGAGGAGGAGGTGAGGAGGAGGTTAGGGGGGGGCGAGGGGGGGGGGAAGAAGGTGAGGTGGGGGAGGCGAGGGGGGGCGAGGGCGGGGAGGAGGTGAGGGAGGGGCGAGGGGGGGGAGGAGGAGGTTAGGGGGGGGCGAGGGGGGGGAAAGAAGGTGAGAGGGGGGGGAGGGGGGCGAGTGGGAGGGAGGAGGCGAGGGGGGGGCGAGAAGGGGAGGAGGTGAGGGGGGGCGAGGGGGGCGAGGGGGGGGAGGCGCGAAGGGTGAGAGGCCTGGCACGCCGCTGGCTGCCACCAGCGGCTCTCACGACGCCGGCGGTCTGTGGAGGCGCACGCGCTCCGCTTCATCATCGCGCAGCCACCCGCCCGCGCGCCGCCGTCGGTGATTACCTCTGGCGAGACCTGCGTCGGGGCCCTCGCGTTTCTCACGCCAGAGAGGGGGTCGCCGGTGAACTACAACTTTAATAGCAGAGACAGGGCGGTGAACAAATTGACGCGTACATGGGCGCAGCGGTGAACCGGGTGCGCGCGCGCGCTGCAGACCAACCGAGGCAAATTGGAGCTCGGTGCTCGGCCACGGCGAACGCGTCGGTAGCGAATGAGATCCGGACCGGTCATCGCCCCTGAGCCTGCAACCCACCAGCCCGCACCGACCGGCCTTGCCGAGGTGTGGTCGAACAACCACCGCGCAAATCGACTCGGCGTAGGTGGGGGGGGGGGGGGAGCAGCCTTCACCCACCCGTGGGTTGACAAATCCATAGACTACCACTTTTAGTCTTCTTTATATCAGTAAACAATTACATGTGCCTCGGTCGGGGAGTTCTCAATTCTGCTCACGGATGACTTCACTCAACACCCCTCCCTTATCCCCCCCCCCCACCCCCCGCCGCAAGCTGACGTGCCAATAACGCGTCGCATAAATCCGTCGCAAGTCTTGCCACCGCGCTTCCCTAAGGAGATGCCGCACGCGCATTTCATTTGCAGCGTGTGCCGAGACGCGCGTTGGCAGCACGTCGCCAGGTTCTCGCTCGCGGTCGTAACCTGCGCGCCGTCGCTCGGCGCGACGTCCGACGTTTCGCTGCACGTGCCGGAGCAAGCCGGCGGACCTCCGTATTCGTGCTGGTCCCATGTGCTAGCCCATCCCGAGTTTCACTGCACGTGCTGGGAGCTTAATTCAGGATCGCCTTTTTCATTTTATCGGATGCGAAAATGCGCTCCTCTGGTGTGTTATTTTTATTCTTCGTAATCCAGCGTATATTACCCGTCCCGGGTGGTGGCTGGCACCTTCTTATTGAGCCGCTGCTGCTGCTGCTGCATTTTGCCAGGGAGTTCCCGAATTATACCCCTACGATGATGCAGGCGCGGCGGTTTAAACAAAATCGACAACAAAAAATGGCGTGGATGACAAAGGTCACTCGGGGGAGTTTCACAAGCAGTTCTGCGATATCTTCTTCCGCGGGCCATTCCCTAAGATGGTGGGGTGCTGCACACGGGAAACAATACAATTCGGTGGCCGAAGAAGCTTCCAGCAAGCAGCACGTATTATTATGGTTTGGTTTGCCTTTGTGTATCGTGCATCCTGCTCGAATGCTAACCCCCCCCCCCCCCCATGTATGCACGTTAAATTTCTTCTACATCGGAGGTGCGGGGAGCAGGACAACAAATGGTACGTGAATCGAAACGTCGCACAGATCTACCGGTACGATCTGGCGCCGCCGTGAGATCCGGCGAGTGGCTCTGGAGGGTAAAGCGCCGGGGAGGGGGGGGGGGCTCCTGTCACCCAGACGTCTCCACGGAGTGTCCGTAACGCGTCCTGGCCCTCCGCGCTTTTCATATTAATGAAGTTATTTAATTATCGCGAGAGATTAACAAAGCGCATGTGTGATGGTAACCTCGCGTTGTCACCCCGAACTGATGTTAACAGCTGTGCGATTCAACAAAATTGACAATTTTAAAGATTAATTATCCGTGTGTGAGTGCGCGCCGTGAATTAAATTTCCTTTTATTGGGTTTTTTTTTTCCCCCCGTCGGGTTTTGGCACGAGAGACTGAGATGTGATTTCTGGTCCTGGCAAGCAGCGCAATGCGGGAGATTTGTGCGACACAATAAAAGTAATGCCTCCTGATGGTATATGTATTTTTTTTTTATTCCAGTGCCCCTTTATATTCACTGACACAGCGGTTGTGTAGAAATATTCCTTCGCAGGGAATATCGCAGTGAACGATTGCCAGGTTCTTAATTTTTCCCTCTTTGGCAGCGGCTGGCTGCGTATGGAGCGAAAGAAGTTAAACGCACACACGCACGCACGCACGCAAGCTGTATGTTAGTGATTTTCTGCGCACTTCCTCCGACGTGGAGGCCCAGGGCTCAGCGTCCTTCACCGTGAAAATAAAGGAAGCGTCGGCACCCCGTGACCGCCTGCGAACGGCACCCTCCTGCACGGCCGGCGTCATTTTAATTTTAAATCGAAAACTCATTTCTTTTAGAGCTGCTCGATTCGCACGGTTAGCTGTGTACGGTGCTAAAGACGTTCAGCATACGTACTTAGGGGCCATCCATTTAGTACGTACTCAAGGAGGGGGGTTAACCCAAATGCGTACGCTTGCGTATGGGGGGTCTACTGACACAATGTACGTACGCATAGGAAACGGGGGGGGGGGGGGTGGAGCCTCGATAATAATTTGTCTACATTGGCCTTTAAAAGAGTTAGATAGTCCAGCGGTGTGGACTATTTGTTTGCTTAAACAAGTTAATATTATTAATCCTTGATCGTTTCTGCATGGATTGAATATCGGCCGTTTTATAGGATTTGGGGCGGGGGGGGGGGGGTGCGTCAGGCGTACGTACGCAGGTGGGGAGGGGGGGGGGTGTGTAAAAGTACACGTGCGTACGTACTAAATGGATGGATACGTGATTGTGGCCTTACCTTGGCCGTCCTTCGTGGGACCGAATTGATGGAAAATCTGGCAGTGCCAGATCTATAAAACTATTTTTTTTAATTTGGCCAGGTAAGGCCCACTTAGCTATACAGCTCTTTTTCAGAAGCGACCTCTCCACGCATGAGAGCTCAACGCAGTGGCTTATGATGGGGGAATTTATCGCAGCCAAATAATCAAAGGAGCGAAACAGGAGGATTTCTCCACAAGTCTGGCTGTCGCCTGATAATGCTGGTTGTAATTACTGGCGAAACGTCGTACTCAGATTGTAAATGTTGTGGCTTTGCTCTCCAACACACCGGTGTGCTCTACTACTAACAAATTAACACGTTCTGTTTACGTGATAAACCGTACTAATTGGCTGTGTCGGGTGGTGGCGGGTTTTAACGACACATTTACATTTCTAAGCGATTTAACCCAAAAAAATTGGATTATCAATCTAAACGCGACCACGGGGTGAGAGACACGCAAACTCCAAATATACAGCAGCAGGCGTCAGGGTCGGGATCGAACCCACGACCTCCCGCATACCAGGCGAGGTAGTCAACATCTCGTCACCGGAGTTTGACGGCAGACGTGAGGCGGGTGCTGTGGTCCCCGGGGCTTTTGAGCCACGAACGCAGTCGACCAACAGGGTTCGATTCCCAGCGACGGCTAACATCAGTGGCGAGCGATATCTAAACCGATCCTGGGCGTCGCATGCCCCCTTCCACCCCTCCCCCCCCTCCACCCACGGAGCAATCATCGCGCCCGACGTGCGGCATGTGGTGGGTGGTCTTCATCCAGCAGTGACGCGACGTTGGGCCCTTAACCGACGTAATTAATTTATAGAGTATCGCATTCTTCCCCCCCGCCCCCGCGCCCTCCCCCACCCACAAAAAAAACCGTGTATATTTATTTTCCTTGCTTACTATCGTAACAGCAGCCGTTTTTATGGTTCCCTTGACATTTTTTTCCTGGTCATTAAAGATTCATGGTCCGGCTGCCGTGCGTTTTAAATGGTTTCTGCCTACTTGGCCGTTAATACCGCGAGCTCGCTCAGGAAGCTTCTTCGGAACCTATAAATAGGCGTTGATTTTCGGGGGCTTGCGTGAAGACCGCTCAAGTGTGGCAGTGGTGGAGGGAGGGAGCGTCTTATTAAGACGCGGCGTCGTCATCGTCGTCATCGTCATCATCGCCGTCATCGTCATCATCGCCGTCATCATCGTCATCATCATCGTCGTCATCGTCATCATCGTCATCGTCGTCATCATCGTCATCGTCATCATCATCGCCGTCATCATCACCGTCATCATCATCATCGTCGTCGTCGTCGTCATCATCGTCATCATCGTCATCGTCGTCATCATCATCGGCATCGTCGACATCGTCGTCATCGCCCTCTTCGTCGCTGTAATCTTCATCATCGTCGTCATCGCCGTCGTCGTCATCATCGCCGTCATCATCATCGTCGTCATCGCCGTCATCATCGTCATTATTATCATTGTCGTCATCATCGGCATCGTCGTCATCATCGTCATCATCATCATTGCGTCATCATCATCGGCATCGTCGTCATCATCGTCATCATTGTCGTCATCATCGGCATCGTCATCATCGCCCTCTTCGTCGCTGTAATCATCATCATCGTCACCGTCATCATCATCATCGGCATCGTCGCCATCGTCGTCATCGCCCTCTTCGTCGCTGTAATCTTCATCATCGTCGTCATCGCCGTCGTCGTCATTGCCGGTGCAGCGTGAGTGTGCCTCCCCTAGGTCGACTCGGCTTCAAGGAAGGACGTAGATGAGAGCGAGGCTCCAGCCAAAACAATCTCCCTCGTGCGCCGTGCCGACCCTTCACGGGTGCCTGCCCCACGAGTCTACGTAGACTACACGGTGGGGAGTGGGGGGGGGGGTAAGGTGGTGGTGGTGGGGGGGGGGGCGGTCTGCACGTTCTGCGTGACGACGGAGCGAGGTCCTCACCGAGGTCACTGCGGTGCGGAGAAGTCCCAGAGGCGCACGGTGCCGTCGCGACACCCGGCCACCAGCAGCGCCACGTGACCCGCCACGCTCGTCACGCCCGCTCCGTCTCCCCGCAGGGAGTGCACGCGCGGAGAGAGCCTGCTCGCCTCGCACCCACCACCACCACCGTCGTCACGATCGTCGTCGTCAACATCATCGTCAATGTCATCATTGTCACTTTTGAAGTCTACACCCCTAGGCCCGTCATCATCATCATCACGGTTACCACCATGATCATCATCACCATCATCATTGTTACAGTCACCATGATCACCACTAGCATCAGCATAATATCTACCATCATCATTAGCACGTTCATCATTATTGTAGCCTTCACCATCATCACCACTGTCATCACTATCATCATAATTCTCACCATCTCCACCACCACCACCACTACCATCACCATCATCATCATTATCATCTCCACCTCCATCATGATCAACATCGTTGTCCTCAACCACCTTCATTCCAACGTCCACCAACACCACCGCCATCATCCGATCTCAGCTCAGCAGGTTTGAGCCTGGCCCATGCTTTGATGGGCAAGGACCAGGCACGGGCAGTGCCGGGTTAATCTAGTGTGGGGCCTGTAGCATATCTTATAAAGGGGCCCTAAAAAAACAGAAAATATTAAAACACGCACATTTTTTACTTGCCTAGTAAAGTATTTTTTTATTTCCTATACAGCTAGATAATACGACAAATGGCTAACCTTAAACACCCAGTCGTTCATAAAAGTTGAAGGCAGTATAGTACTATAGTAATAGAGCAAGTGCAGAATCACTGAACCGGAATTGATAGCTTGAAAGCATTTAGCGCGGGGCTCTTGAAAGTGCGGGGCCCGTAGCTACATCATATGTAGCAGCTACATATGTAGTAGCTACATATGTAGCAGCTACATATGCAGCAGCTACATATGTAGCTACTTTTGCACCGAGGATAATCCGGCAGTGGGCGCGGGTTGTCCTAGACCGGGGGCTACATTGTGGGCAGCGGATGGTCAGTCCAGCATTGCTGTGGTGCACTCTGCTGCCACACCTGTGCGCTCCGCATCTTCGCCACGGTCAAACAACCCCCACGACCCGCACGGCATCGAGAGAGAGACCCTCATCCGGCGGTGGATTGACAAGGGGGGCGACCCGCGCACACAAACACGTGCGGCAGATGAGGGGGAAGGCGCCGACCATCCGTGACGGATGAGCAACAGATGAGAACGGCCAATCGCGCGCGTGATGCCCGACGTTTCGCTCCACATGCCGGGAGCAGAACGTCAGACACGCCGCTCGAAATCGGTCGTTCTCCTGTGCGGGGGGGGGGGTGGGGGTGGGGGGGTTGATGAGGGGGGGGGTCGGAGTGGCGCGACGCGCTTGGCTGGTCACGAAATTTTAGTTTCCCGGAACAAGTTGCCGGCAGCACGTGGAGCGGAACGTCGGACGTCGCGCGCCGAGTACCACGTGGCACCACCCGCGAATAACCTGCGCGGCGGAAAGGCCGACTCGTTCTCGCTGCCCCACTCACCTTGCCGACACCACCTCCCGACTGTCCGTCCGGCCGCCTCCTTCATACCTCCCTGACCGCCCCCCCCCCAACTCCTCACCCTCCCCGCACCGGCACGGCGCTCAATTTGTGCGGGGATTTGGAGTCCGTGCTCGGCCGCTGATCCATTACCCCGCGACTCCGCGGCGATGCTCCACCGGGACCCGTCTGGACAGGAAGCCCCCCCCCTACTCCTCCTCGTCCCCTCTCGTGTTTGACGGGAAGGGGGTTTGAAAAGGGGGTCCCCCGGGGGTGCGCTCGCCTCCTCCCACGCACGCCTCCCCGTGGCCTCGGGTTTACACGGCTATGCCACTTATCTCCTCCACACAACAGCTTCCGTAATCCACGGCCGTTTGAGGCTTGGCTCTATCCCCCCGCCCCCCGTCTCTCCGTCTCTTGTCTGTGTTTGTGTCTGTGTGCGTCTTTGTCTCTTTGCGTGTGTGCATCTTTGTGTCTGTGTGTGTGTGCGTCTTTGTGTCTGTGTGTGTGTGCGTCTTTGTGTGTGTGCGTGTGCGTCTTTGTGTCTGTGTGTTTGTGCGTCTTTGTGTCTGTGTGTGTGTGCGTCTTTGTGTCTGTGTGTGCGTCTTTTTGTCTGTGTGTGCGTTTTTTTGTCTGTGTGTGTGCGTCTTTGTGTCTGTGTGTGTGCGTCTTTGTGTCTGTGTGTGTGTGCGTCTTTGTGTCTGTGTGTGTGTGCGTCTTTGTGTCTGTGTGTGTGCGTCTTTGTGTCTGTGTGTGTTTGCGCCTTTTTGTCTGTGTGTGTGTGCGTCTTTGTGTCTGTGTGTGTGTGTGCGTCTGTCTCTGTGTGTGTGCGCGCGAGTGGGGGAGCAGTGGCGCAGTGGTTAGCGCGCCGCGCCAGGAACCCCGGCGAGCCACATTCGATTCGCGCTCGCGACAACCGTCGGTGACGGATTGTGTATCCGTACCGGTCCGGCACTTGCCCTTACAGTCGATGAAGGCTACTCCGGGGGTGGCGGGGGGGTGGGAGCAGGGATCTTTGTCTTGTCTGCACCGAGCCTCGAGAGCAAATGTGTGGCTGGGTGACATTTTCAGGCACATTCAGGCCGGGGCGCCGTGACGTTCGCAGTCTTCGCTGGGATGAGGCAGAGATGAGGGGGCAGAGATGTCTGCTGCTGCTGCTGAGTGGTGGTGGTGGTTGTGCGGATCATCAACGTAAATGTACGCCGTGAGAAAAATCGTTTGCCCGCGGTCCGCCGTGTTGGTCACAGCGCCAGCCTTCGAGTGCTGTCTGTCCTCGTCACTAAGTAGGGGTGAGCGCTCATCCTGACCCCAATGACCCAGTGCAACTGTGGTGTTAATAAAAAGCTATGCTGTGACCTATGACCCCTGACAAAATAAACACTGACTGGATTTTTTCTACCCCCATGCTCAAAAAAAATATTCTTGTCGCTTATTTTGTAGTTTTCAGTTGGCATGATATAAAAAAAAATCAGTTAACATCAGCGATACGTTTTGTTCACGTCACAACCCTTACTCATTGGCTGTCTCCGGTGGGTGGAGGTGGGTTTACGACACATTTACGCGATCCGACCCAAGAAAAACGTGAATAATAATATAGGTCGCGAAAGCGTACGCATTAACACGAGCTGTACTTTTGCTCGACTCGACAAGGGCAAACGTGACGGGGTGGTGGAGGGCACAGCCTAATGGGGCTTCAGTTCGCTCCAGAAAAAAGTTGAGTTGAGAAGAAGATTGACCCCCGTCCGCACGACTGGGCCGGCTGTGACTCGTGATTGATTCTCTCGGTCTCGACGACAGCCCCGTGAGTCGCCCGGCGAGATGCGATTGCGATTCGTTGCTGGGGGAAGACCTCAATTCCGGTATGTATATAGGGACAGTTTATGTATTTGTTTATTTAAAGATTTCGTGACTGCAGGGATTCATATTATTGGTTATTTCGGTAAAGTCACGTAGAAGAGAAATAATAAAATAATATAAATATAAAACAATAAAAATTCTCACGACGATTCGACTGCAACACAAGCAGCCGTCATCAGGTGTGAAATCCACGGCAAGAAAATTTGAAAAGAATTTGAAAAAGAAAAAACTTTTCAAATTTTATTGCTGTGGATTTCACACCTAATGATAATTGCTTGTATTGCAGTTGAAACGTCGTGAGAATTTTTATTGTTTTATATTTTTATTATTTTATTATTTCCCTTCTACGTGACTTTACCGAAAGAACCAAGAATATAGTTTATGTATTTTTTTATTTTTTTGCTAAATAGCTCGTGGTCTTTATTTTCTTTCACGTTTGAGCTTCGGGCTATGACGCTCCTGCGCAGTGGCTCGCTCTTGACGATCGTGTCGGGAGTGCTCGCCTGGTACGCAGGAGGTCGTGCGTTCAATCCCTACCCTGAGGCATGTATATTTGGAGTTTTCCTGTCTCTCTCAGCGTGGTCACAGTGGATTTTTTGTCCGGGCCCTCTCCGTTTTTTCCCCCTCCACATTTAGAATCAACATGCATTCAGAAGAGTATTTGACTGCAATACATTCCCCACGTGACAAGCCGCTTCGTTGAGCTATCATTTGTGGCCAGGTCGCTTCTGAAAAAGAGCTGTAGAGCTCAGTGGATCTTACCTGGTAAAATAAAAAAAAATAGTTTAGAGTTTAGTTTCAGTTGATGCATGTCTGGCAATCCAGCACTGCGGAGCCAACCCAGGGTCAGGAATAATTGGAATTATGTAAGCGACGTTCGACGGAATTACATTCACATTGCCACTGTGAAATAAGCACCACTTACAATTGTGTTTCACCCCCCCGGGAAGTCTGCTTTGGAGGCGAGGGTCGGTGGATCGTGCAGAGATCGAATGGGTCCAAGGGTGGTTCACCAACATGACGGAATGCCACTGCCCGCCTGCCAATCCCGGATGCTGGGGGGCTTGAGCCACCGAGCGGCCTGCAGGCGGCAGTACGGCAGTGGATTCTCGTGTCCATCTGTGCAGAGCTCAGAATGCTAGAGCCCCTTCGTACGTGCGGGCTTTCCCGAGGTAACTCCGGTTTCCTCCCACGGAGGAAGCCAAACACTCGGTCATGGGGATGAGCCAAACATCCAAACGCAGGACTCTCTTCGCGAAGAGTCTTGGCACTCCCCGAGGCTCTCGCGCTCAGTCAGGCCGTGCTCACGGGCAAAGTTAAAGAGATAAATAAATAGATGAAGAGGTGCAGCCCATGCAATTGCCTGCTCATGCCATTGCCGGCGGCAGGGGCCTCCCGCTATTGCTGGCCTCCTCTTCCACGCCGGCTGGAAATCCCGGTGGTTCAAATAACGCCGCATATGAATGTACAATCAACAGGCACCCGCGCAGTGGGAATCAAACCTATGTCGAGACGGGCGGCAACGGACGGCAGCAGCAGCGATGTGACTCGGCATGACAGGGCGCTATTAGTCGCCGAGCCAGGCTTTTGACTCGCGTGCCCCATTGTGTGGCCATTAAGTAAAATCATCGGGTGCGCCGTAATCCATCGCGCTCGGCACAGTGCACGGAATTCATCGCTGACCTATAACTGGGAACGCTCGCCCGCCCGCCCGCCTGCTCGCCCGCCCACACTCTCGCTCTCTCCCAGCTCACCCATCACCGGCGGCGTTTAGTTACGCCTGGGATGGACCCGCGGCCGAGCCCGTGAGGACCCCCCGAACACCGTTCGTCTCCGCGGCCCGCGGGGCCGATCGATGCCCGCCACGTCCGGGCGCTCGTTATCCACTTTAAACTCTCGCTCGCTCGCTCGGAGTGCGCCGGGGAGGCCGGCGCCGGGGGAAAAAGCGTGCGCGCGCTTGCAGGCGTGGTGTCGTAGACGCACGAGACGTGCACACACACGCACGCATGCAAGCGCGCACGCGTATAAGTGCACGCGTGTGTGCGTTCCGACGCGCACGTACGCACACACGGACTTATCGAAATGGAGATGCTTTCAATGCACTCGCACTCGTGCATGCACGGGCGTGAGAGTGCAGACATGCTGACACGCGCATACACGCAGAGGTACACACGAACTAGTATGCATACACACACAGTACCACAGATATGCTTACGTAAAAAAGACAAAGGTTCCCCCATATAGATTTTAACAGATTGTCGGGGCAAGTGCTGTTAGCGAGCACCTATTACGGCCAGCACGGCACACGAGGGTGTGGGTACCCAGCACCACGTCCAGCTGTGTCTACCCAATGCTGATGTTTACCCACCGCAGCACGTACAAACACGTACACATCGGCACACATACTAATGTGCGCGGGCACTTGTGCCAGGTTAAGTGCACTTTGACGCCATGTGGTGTCGACATCTTGCTGGCAGGAGGTCACGGGACAGACCTGGGTGTTAGCTTTTTGACTGAGGTGGCTGACAGTTGCACCACCTGCGCTCCCCGCTATGCCAGCTTGCCGTGTTTTCACCGCCCGGTACTCTGCTCATTGATCTGTTACCTCCTTGCCTCCTGTCGTTGCTGGAGGGTGACTGCCGCCACCTGCCCAGTAGCGTCTTTCACGAGCCCCCTTCCACAGAGGCCGATCTTAACACTGCCTATGCCACTTGCCCCATCGGTTCGCTCCCTTCCATTCCATTCCCCCTCTGGTGTGACAGCCCATCGTTTGTCTATCCCAATGTCGTGCCCGTTTAACCTCCTCCCTTCGGCCAGACGGAAACTGCTTTGCATGTGCGGTGGCTGGGGCACGTGAGCCACACGACGCAGCCAATGAGCGTAGCCTCGCCTGCCCGGCGGAGCCCACTGATTGAACCTTGTCCCAGACCTTTCACGTGTCCGTGAGCCCGTCTCGCAATCTAATCTGGTTAGAACCCAGGATGGATTGCAGGCGGCACATCCTCAGAGACCCAGCGGGCTTCACTTGGTCAAGTTAATGGCTGCAGACGGACTGAATGTCACGGCTCACGGCCAACGAGAACCCTCTTTTAAAGTCCGTGATGAACTATCGCAACTTCGTGGCAAACCATTGGCGGCAGTCGTCATCGCTGGCGACGTGTTTGCCGCAAGCAGCTGCGGGAGCTCGGCGCGGCAGGTCGCGTGGATTGACGGACTTCCTGCCAAGCCGATTGCCGGACGGCGTGTTTCTCCGATGGAGGAAGGCCCCTTGCACCGGCGCGAGACGTCTCAGCAGGCAACCTGCGAGCGCTGCGACGCGCTCGCCACTGGGAAGGATGTTTGACTTTGGTGGACGGACACCAAGAAAGAAGAAGACCCCCAACGCGGGCACTGACTATGCACGTTTGTTGCATATCCTATTGCATGGAAACTATAAACTATGAAAGTAAAGATTTGTGTTATTTTACGAGGTAAGGCCCACTGAGCTCTATAGCTCTCTTTTCTCAGAAGCGACCTGGCCACAAATGGTATCTCGACGAAGTGGATTACCGCCTGGACATTGCAGCAAAATGCTCTCAATTCACGTTTCTAAATGTACAGGCAAAAACCGAAGGACCTGGAGAAAAATCCATGCGACCGCGGGGAGAACACGCTGGTGTCAGGGTCGAGATTGAACACACGCCCTCCTGCACACCAGGCGAGGCATTTGACATCTCGCCACCGTGGCGTCCCGAGTAGATTATGCACGTGCACCGACCGCCCATAACAGGTAAGAGATCAACATTGTTTGGGACCGAGTTAGAATCCAAGCCGGTGGTCATGGGAAAATGAAACGAGACGGAACGCAAACTGAGCAAGTGTCCCGCACTCTACGTTTGGACATTGCTCCGAAAAGTAAGGGATTTAGTTGACGACGCACGGACGAGGGTTAGAACTTGTGTTGCAACACAAATGAGGAGGGATACCCGTATTCTAAATTTAAAATAAAAATTCTTAACACGCATTGTTGGCTCCGAGGGGACGAGATGGGGCAACTCAAGTTCAAGTTCATTTATTTGGTGTAGCCCTGTGAGCCATTCGGCTCTTGAATCGGGTGCAACCGCAACAAACAAAAAACAAAAACATGAACAAAAAACATCTTAAAGTGAATATGTGACTAAGTGCAAACAGAAAATCCAAGAAAAGACAGCAAAATATTGCAGAAAAAAAACACCGTACACCAACGCTGTGTGCAAAAATCCCAGTGGGATGCAAGTCAAACAACAACAACAACCCCAAGACAACTAACATGCGGGGATGAACGCTGACGTTCTCTGACACAGGAAACAATTTCCCCGTCGTTTCACGACCTTTAAAGGGGGGGGGGGGCGGGGGGGGCGGTCCGCATTTTGCGAGCGTAGAGAAGACGGCACGATTACCAGTGCCGGGTGGCCCCGCTGGCGTCGGTCCATCACCGTAGCACCGCCGCCACCGGTGATGTGAAACAGGAGGAGGAGGGAGGAGTAGGGGTGAGGGTCGGGGGTGGGGGGGGGGTTCATCGCTCACCCGTCCAGGTCGAGGCTGTGGCACCACACCTCTCCGTCGGACCAGGCGCTCACCAGCTCCAGCGGCAGCGGCGGCGGCGACGGCGGCGTGAACCCATCCTGGCACGGCCCCGGCCTGGCTCCGCAGACAAGGAGCACGCTCGTCACCCTGTCAGCACCAGGGACAGCGGCAAACACGCGGACCGGGTGACGCGCGGAGCCACGTACCGGCAGAAGTGGGCGCCCCATCCCCTGTGGTTGATCCCCGTCGCGAGCCCACGTGGGCTTACTCAGAGACATGAGCGCACTATCATGGGGACTTCGATTTGAAGCTTTCGTGACTGCAGTGATTCGTCTTCTTGGTTCTTTCGGTAAAGTCACGTAGAAGGGAAATAATAAAATAAGATCTGTCTTTCCGACAGCCCTGTTCTTCACCTGAGGACGGCTGCTTGCGTTGTGGCCGAAACGTCGTGAGAATTTTATTTTATGATGTTTTATTTTTATTATTTCCCTTCTACGTGACTTTACCGAAAGAACCAAGAAGATATCATAGGGACCCCAACTTGATTCCGTGTTTATGTATCCCCCCCCCCCCGCGCACCACCACCACCACAACGCCTTCCCTCGCTATATTACAACTGTTCTGTCAGTGTCGTGTTACGGCACACGGACAGCACAAAGCCGTTGATGTTCCCGTGCTCCTACATCTATGCTTCCCAGCGGCCCTTCGCCAAACCCGCGTCGACCGCCAGCGTGGTGAAGTATGGTCACCCATAGCCGCCATGACCTGCCCGGGTGTGGCGAGGCAGGGAGGGTGGGGCTTCATCCAGCAGTGGGCTGACGTAAGATTGTCTGTGTACGTGAACATCCCACGCGAGTAACATCGTCGTTGTTAACAACATCCGTGTTGGGCACGGATGTTGTTTGTCCATACCTCATTCCGCTGGTCACCGCGTGTTGGTGAAGGGGGGGGGGGGCACACAGGCACGGTGGAGATCTCAATCGCCAATTGATGTTATCCATGGCCAGGATTTACAGTGCAGCGCGCTAACCACTGCGCCACCACCGCTCGACCTTCCATCCATTATTCGATGAATGGGGAGGCTCTCATCCATCAGCGGATTGACAAAAGGCTGTCATCGTTATTTATATAATTATTGTATAATATGATTGGGGTGGGAAAAAAACGGTTTTTTATAGCATTGTGGTTCATGCAGCACCCACACACACGCGCACAGGATCCACACACGTACAAAGAAAAAGATCCCCCGTATAGCCTTAACAGACTGCTGGGGCAAGTGCTGTTAGCAAGCACCTATGAAGGCCGGCACTGTGGCACACGAGGGGGTGGGTGGCCAGCACCACGCGCGGCCGCCTTTGTCTCCCCAGTGGCGATGTTTACACACCGCACCAGGTACTCATTTGAGGCTGAGTCGACCTCGGGGAGGGCCAGGACCGGTTCAAATAATCGTCACTGGTGTGTGCCGTGAAGGGGAATCGAACTCGGGTCGCCAGGTTCGTAGCGCAGCGCGATAACCGCGACACCGCCGCTCCCCACACGCACCCACGTAACAAAGACAAAGATCCCCCGTATAGCCTTATCAGACTGTTGGGGCAAGTGCTGTTAGCGAGCACCTATGAAGGCCGGCACGGCACACGACGGGGTGGGTGGCCAGCATCACGCCCGGGTTCGTAGCGCAGCGCGATATCCGCTACACTACCGCTCCCCACACGCAGACACACACACACGCGCGCACGCATCCACCACACACACACACGCGCACGCATCCACCACACACACAACGCACAAAAGGAATTTCTCGCAACCTGAATTCAGTGTCGGCCGTGACTCGCTCGCGTTTTGCGCTGACGCTGCCGCGCGCGTTTGAGTTATGTTCTACAGAGCCGCCCGTGTCACGAGCGTGTGTTTAAACCCTTTTGTGCATTCGGGCTCCGTCGTGCCCGTGACAATTTCTGTGAACTGCGCGTGACACCCGGGGGCCCTTTTATTTGAGAACTTTCAGTTCCGTGACAAAATACAAAGGGGCCTTTTAAGTGAGAGCGTTTCCAGTCGCGCTGTTATTCACGTGTATTACGGCGTGCACGTGTGCGTGTGTGCAACGTGGGGAGCGGTGGCGCAGCGGTTCGTGCGCTGCGCCGAGAACCCGGCGACACGAGTTCAATGCCTGCTCACGGCCAACACCGGCGATGATCATCTCAACCGCTGCCGGGCCTCCCCTAGGACGAATCAGCATCAAATGAGTACCTGGTGCGGTGTGTAAAACATCGCCACTGGGGGAGACAAAGGCGGTCGGGGGGGGGCGTGGTGTCGGCCACCCACCTCCCTCGTGTGCCGTGCCGGCCTTCGCTAATAGCACTTGCCCCAACAGTTTGTTAAGGCTATACAGGGAGGCTTGGGGATCTTTGTCTTTGCGACATGGGGCATGTGGTTTAGTGGTAATGAAATTAAAGTTGGAGGGGTTACCAGCCCCCCCCCCTCACCCGTCCAGCGCTCCCATTGGCTGTGAGTGCCATGAGGTGAACAGCTGTCTCCAATACCAGCCTTCCCCCCAATGGCATTGCTACTTGGCGGAGCCAGCAGGGAGCACAGGTGGTGCGTCTTACAGTCATCAGCCCTGGCACCTGGGCCTGTCCCGTGGTCTCAAAGTGCACTTAGCCTGGCACAAGCGCCGTGGTGGTGACGTCGCCACCACGTGGGGGCTGTGGAGCAGTGGATAGAGCATTGCGCCATAGACTTGGCGAGTTTGATTCCTAGCCATGGCAGACTTAAGTCTCGAGTAATATCCGAACCGGCCTTGCCTCCTCCACCCTTTACCAACCTTGCACTGACCAGTGTGGTGAAGTATGGTCAAATAGCCCCGTTGAGTGACACGGGCGTGATGCCCCCCCTCCCCCGCCGTGTACCCTTTAATGGGTTGTTGTGGCAAGTGCTGTTTGCGAGTACCTATTAAGGCCGACACGGCGCATGTGCTGGTTGTAAGGCGAGCACCACGCCCGGCCGCCTTTGTCTCTGCAGTGCTGGTGTTTACACACACCGCAGCATGTGCTTATTTAAGGCTCAGTCATCCTTGGGAAGGGCCAGGATGGGCTCATACAACCACCACTGGTGGTAGCCGTGGCCGGGAATCAAACCCAGGTCCGCTGTGGCTCGGGCGCCGCGGTGACGGGATGTGGGGGTCGTGGATTCGATCCCGACACTGACGCCTGCTGCTGTATATTTGGAGTTTGCATGTTCCCTCTCTCTCCGTGGCGGCGTGGATTCTTCTCCGGGTCATCCAGTTTTTCCGTCCACATTTAGAATCGACATCACGCGTTCAGAGTGATTTGGCTGCTCTGAATTTCCACGTGACGAGCCGCCTTCATTGAGCTATCATTTGTGATAGCCAGGTCGCTGGCTCAGTGGGGCCTTACCCGGTTAAAAAAACATATTGTAGAGTTTGTATAGTTAAAGATTAGGCCGTTGTATTGCCACGGTCACGGTTGTAAATTTCCCACATTTGAGAAAAGACCCCGCAAACGACTCGGCCGCAACACACGCAGCGGGCAATCATTGCCGCCAACTGCAAACGCAAAAAACGTTTGGCAGGACCCTCCTGAAAACGGAGTCGCGAGACTCGCTGAGGCCTTCCCAGGTCAACGAACAAAAGCAACAACGATAACAACAACAATAACAACAACAACAACAACAGATGAGCCACCGCCCAGCGTAGCTGCTGCGAGCGCAGTGGCCCTGCACGAGAGCGGTCGGCGCGAGGGTTAAAATAATGAGCCGCAATTCATCAGGGAGCACGGGACGGGAGATTAAACGGTCCCATTGTAGGGATGAGCGTGCGTGCGCGACACGCTGTGCATCAAGCCTCACGACCGCCGGAAGGACGCGTCCGTACACCTCGTCCAGCACCCCCACCCCCACCCCTACCCCCACACCTACCCCCACACCCCGAGCCACCCCGAGCGACCCCGCGCGACCCCAAGGCGAGGACGTGGTAGGCGTGCGGCGCAGGGAACCCGGCCACGTGCGGCGGTCGATTCCGGTAAATATTCCAAATCCTTGGTGGCGAGTGATAACTAAATCGGTCCAATCTAGAGCCGCCCTTCGCTGGCTTTCACTGGCCTTCTCTGACTTTCACTGACCTTCACTGATCTCCACTGGCCTTCACCGACCTTCACTGGCCTTCTCTAACTTTCACTGGCCTCCACTGGCCTTCACCGACCTTCACTGACCTTCACTGGCCTTCACCGACCTCCACTGGCCTTTTCTAACTTTCACTGGCCTCCACTGGCCTTCACCGACCTCCACTGGCCTTCACCGACCTTCACTGATCTCCACTGGCCTTCACCGACCTTCACTGGCCTTCTCTAACTTTCACTGGCCTCCACTGGCCTTCACCGACCTCCACTGGCCTTCATTGGCCTTCACTGACCAGCGTTGAGCAGGAGCCCGTGAGGCTTCCTTTGGGCAGGTGTGAATGGCATCAATCTGAACGTGATCCGGACAACTCGTACGCGAACTCTCGACCACAGTTAACCCGCGCAGAGACGTCAGTGGCGCACGTGGGTTACCCTGATGTTGTCATAGAGACCCATGTTGTCAACTACAGACCCAAAGACTCGTCGACGCGTATACCCATACTGAGAACCATCGACTCGCACAGAGATACCCATAGACTCACGCAGAGACCAATCAATCCGAATAGAGACCCAAAGACTCACAGACACATATGCTCATACTGAGAACCATCGATTTACACAAAGATACCCATAGACTCACGCAGAGAACAATGAATCCGAATAGAGACCCAAAGACTCACAGACACATATGCTCATACTGAGAACCATCGATTCACACAGATACCCATAGACTCACGCAGAGACCAATCAATCCGAATAGAGACCAAAAGACTCACAGACGCGTATACTCATACTGAGAACCATCGACTCGCACAGAGATACCCATAGACTCACGCAGAGACCAATCAATCCGAATAGAGACCCAAAGACTCGTAGACACGTATACTCATACTGAGAAATATCGACTCGCACAGAGATACCCATAGACTCACGCAGAGACCAATCAATCCGAATAGAGACCCAAAGACTCACAGACGCGTATACCCATACTGAGAACCATCGACTCGCACAGAGATA